CCCAGGTATATGGCTGCACTGCAGCAGTTTAACCCCGGGACAGTTATTGAATGGAAGCTTGAGCGGATTCCAGGTAAACCAGAATATACATTCAATTATGTGTTTTGGGCGTTTAAACCAGCAATTGATGGTTTTTCGCATTGTCGGCCCGTAATATCCATAGACGACACTCATGTTTATGGAAAGTACAATATCAAGTTGTTGATAGCCGTGGCAGTAGATGCCAATGGACAGATATTTCCTCTAGCTTTTGCTATTTGTGCCAATGAAAGCCAAGAGACGTGGATACTGTTTTTGAACCACTTGAAAGAGCACGTTGTCAAATAGCATTCTGGTATTTATCTAATATCTGATTGGCATAGTGGTATCTTAAGTTCTATAGAGAACTTGCCTGCATGGCAAGAACCTTATGCCTACCATCTTTACTGTGTTAGGCACCTTAAAGTCAATTTCCATAAGGCATATCCCAACAAAGAACTGCATGATTTGATGTGGATGGCAGCAACAGACCACCAACAGCATAAATTCCGGAGGCACATGGAATATATCAGGCAAGAAGACGAGGCAGCCTATCGTTGGTTAATGCGACATGACCCTGAAAAGTGGAATTTGCATGCGGATGGTGGCAGGCGATGGGGAACTGATCGCGCCCAACTATGCTCTCTAAAAAGGACTCTGCGGACGTTGCAAATATAACCCGAGTATTACGCTCATGGTCGAATCCACAGAGAGTTAACCTATCAATCATAATCTTTAGACCCACTAAACTCTTGAGAACCAATTTTCCAAACTTTTTAATCACAGTTGAAGGTTTCTTTACTAACTAAGATTGCAAGTAAATAACAATCTGTAAACTAAAATGCTAAGGTTGTAAACAATGATGAGAAAAAGCTAAGGTAAAGATTTCCCCTATTGATGGAATCCCTTTTGTTTATTCTTCATACAAATTTCCCAACACACCTCTATAAATCATGAATACTTTTCGTAAATCTCTCCCGAGTAATCACAGTAATATACTATTGCACTCTCCCGAGATACACTAGCTAGCTTTAATTAACACAGTTCACTTAAGATTGCACCCAAGGCTTTGTTATCCCTAATTCCGCATTTAAACCCGCAGTTATAGATTCTTCTTATACTTTAGGAGTGGTGTTATTCAACAATAACCTAAATATTCACTCTCTTCCGGGTTATGCACACTAAATAGGCACAGCTAATTGAGGATCCTGTCAATTAACTACAACAAGAACATAGTTGAATAAATAAAGATTGAAACTAACAATTTGTATTCGCATAAACAAGAAGTTCATCCCCCAATAGGTTCCATCAAAACCTTAGACAAGGGATTTAGCTACTCATGGCTATGGGTAAATAAACTAAGATAAGATTCATCATAAACTAGCAATCAAAATCAAAGAAAAGAAGAAAGATGTTTTGGATGATCTCTCACAATTGTTTTTCTTGCCAAGATACTCTAAAATTCAATACACGCCTCTCTTGGGCGAAGTCTAGTGTTTAAAATAGGGTTTTGGGCTAAAAATCCCGTATTTTGCACTTTATTCACTGAAATTTTTGCCTCCTACCGCGGTTCTACCGCGGTCGCGGTCAAACCGCGGCCAAACATGGCCTCTGATTCTTCAATTGTCTGCGTCTGCACTCTGCCGCGGTCGCGGTGAAATCGTGGTTTTTCATCTTGTTCCGTTTGGAATTTGGAAAAACGCAAAACATGAAAGTTGTAGTACTTTGAGTTATCCTTCCAACCATATATTATGGAGCCAAGATAGAGCTCTGAGTAAAAGGTTATGTGCATTTTACTAAACACTGCACAATATGTCTCATCGAGTCTTCGTTTATTCTCAACTATCAAATTTGACTCCCGAACATGATCCCGGCTTAATTCCTTGAGCTTTTACTCAGACTTCAAAGCTTCAAATCACTTAAATTCATTCCATAACATCTATATAGCTCGGAATCACACCTACAAGGCATAAAACACATAATTAGTGCAAAACACTAGCGATTAAAGCGCAAACTCAACTAAAGCGCAGTAAATTAGAGTGTAATAATCAACTAAAACACGCAATTATAGACTATCATCAGGAACTCTGACTACAAATGTGTCAGAGTCTTTCAACGGGTTATTGAAGTCGGCAAGAGGATTGCCTGTCACAGCCATGGTGCGGATATAGTTCAAGCAGATGGCAGAGAGGTTTGTTGAAAGGTCTGCAGCTGCAACGTCATTGATAGAAAGGGGTGTTGAATTTATGCCAGTGCCAATGCAGAGATTTGAGAAATACAGACGACGAGCGCATTGGCATTCATTTTTATAGTATGATAACGAAAGAAATATTTTTGAAGTTCGCACCGCTATCCATCAAAATCGGGGTAATAATGTACATACTTTAAATGAATCTACAAGGTTATGCTCTTGTGGGAAATGGTCCATCTGCCACATGCCGTGCTCACATGCCATCAAGTGCTTTCAACAAGTTGGTTTAGGTGTAACCAACTATGTTGATCAACAATATAGTGTTGCGAAGTACCTAAACACATATAATGAGCAGTTGCAGCCAATAGGTGCTGAGCATTATTGGCCGCTTGATTAAAATGGTGTGTAACAAGTCCTATTTGCGACGAATACAAGTGAAGAAGAGAACGCATATACAGAACCAAATGGATATTAGTGATACCATTTATGCGCGCAGATGTGGTATATGCTCGCAAATAGGACACGACCGTCGAAAATGTCCTTTGGGTGGCAACAATAATCAAGCTCGGGGTGGGTGTTCTTCTATTGTGCCTAACTATCAATGAGTTTGTGTTTATTATTTAGTTGTTTTGTTTATGTTGCAAGAATTATAAAATAAAATTATGTTTGTTAATTATGAGTTGAATTTCTCCATTTCAGTTTTTTAATGATAATAAAAAAAATTATATATTCGGAAGAACTTGAAACAACATTGAACTTTCATAAATCTGATTAATCTGCGATTTTGAGGTATGGATTGATGAACCTTGTCACCAGGAATACTACAAAGGATTGTTGAACGATCTTAATGATTTGTGTTTAAAACAGTGGGAACGTGAAAAACAACTTAAAAGAGGTTGTGGAGTTGAAAGTGAAACTTAAAGTAACTCTCCTTCCCATATATGGGCAGACCTATGATTGCCCTGAAGCACTAATAGCTCACGAGAGTAAGGGCCGGGATATATAGGCGCATCCATGTCGTCAATTGTAAATTAAACAACATTAATTGTATGTTTATTATTTAACTGTACAAATTATATATAACAATTGGGTTCCAGGCTCGATATTTGAGGCTCTGTAGCACCAACTTATCATGAATATTTATGTGTGTCAAATTCAATTTTTTGATAATTTTGTGTGTGTTTGTTTTATAATTTTGAGTATTTAATTGTACAAAGTATATATAACAATTGGGTTCCAGGCTCGCTATTTGAGGCCCAGTAGCACCAACTTATCATGAATATTTATGTGTGTTAAATTCAATTTTTTGATAATTTTGTGTGCGTTTGTTTTATAATTATGAGTATTTAATTGTACAAAGTATATATAACAATCTACCATTACAAGAAATACTTAAACTACAAGGATTCTACGCTAAAATACTATATAGTTTACTACGCTAAAAGTTTCTACATTTTACTACGCTAATAAATAAACTAAATATAAACAACAAATACATTTTAATCACATAAACATTAACAAAAATATATATAACATACTAGTTTCGCAAATAAAACACAAAACGACATGGAAACACTAATATCTAAATTCGGATATTAACATAAAAAATTAAATCTCAATTTACATTTTTTTTTAAAACACTAATATCTAAGTCCGGATAAATATAACATACTAGTTTCGTAAATAAAACACAAACGACATGAAAGCACATTCAATAGCCAGTGATATACATTATTATACAAGTTTGGACATAAAATAAATCGAAATACCTCGATGTAGTGAGTGTTTTGTGTGAAAATTTGAAGACGAAGGAGTTAAACCACAACAATGCAATGCTCTAATACGATGTGGGACCTACGTTCTTAACCTTTTGTGTGACGGGAGGGGCCCACAATTTTTTTTTAATAACGGGCAGTGGGGGGCCAGAATGGGGTTTTAAAAAAATGGGGGAAAGGGTGGTCGGGGAAGAAGATGAAGGGCAATATTTAAGTTGGGGTATAGCGTATGAAAAGAAAACGCTATATATAGTGTACAATAACAAGACGCTATATGTGGCAGTCAAATCGTCAGACCATATAGCGTATGAATAAACGACGCTATACCTTAACGGCAGACGTTACCGTTAATGTATAGCGACTTGTTTTTGCACGCTATATATAGAAATGTATTTTTTTTTAAAACACCTATTAAGGTAATTTGAGTCCAAAAAAATAATATTTAGGTTCCGGACCCACATTAGTATAGGTTTAGTTATGGGATCCGTACCGGATCTTGTCAAATAATTTTGGATACTTTGACCATGATAGAAGGAAAAATTTGAGACGAGATACAATTTTATTCTCGAAATCAGAACCAAAATAAGGATAAATTTGAAGAAAATAACATACCTTATTTGGAAAATCAATTCTTTACTTATCTACAACTTGAGAACTAAAAAGAAATCCACACTTTACAAGCTATACGTAAGTATTCCACAAAATTTCTCATAATTTAGAATTTTTTTTAATATTTTGAATTATTGTTAGCGGGATCCCTGCACCCATACACGTACCCGTATTAGGATCAGTATCCCAGAATCTAAAGGATCCGACCTCTAAATCCGTACCCCGTATCGGACACCTACACCCGTGCGAGTAACTTAGTAGTATACACAGTTTTGTGTTTTGGTGAAGCAAATTAAACGTGGATAATTGAAAGTGAAAAGGTTGTCTAATAGATGAAGAAATAAAGACAACCCCACAAGCACAACTTTTAGTGGCACAACTTTTACCTGAGCTCCGTATACCTACCATTGTCCATTGATCAAGATATATTTCCCTCTTCAAAACTTATAATTTTCCCTCAAGCTAAAGAGAAGAATTGTATAATTAAGTAGATAAATATAATTTAGCAGTGTATAAACATGTCAAGTTTGCAACTTTCTTCAGATGGCAAAAGTAGTTACATGCAGACTTGTAACTTGTTGAGTCAGTATCTCAATGGAAAGGCTGCCCTTAAAGATATCATCAATCTTGGAATCAATGGCGACGGAGAAATCGCAGGTATAGATTTTTTCTTTTTTACATTATCAGCATCTTGTAGAAATGCACAGAGTAAGGCTGCATACGATAAACCCTTACGATCCGGTTCTTCCCCAAATCCCGCACATAACGGGAGTAATTAGTGCACCGGGCTGCCCTTTATCGGAATAGCCAAAGAATTAAGCTCCATTATTTCAGTTGTTATGTTTCCATATTTGTTTGTTTAATTTACTTCCTTCTCTCTACTTCATTTATATGGAGTTTTTTTTTTTTTCAATTCCCCTCCTCTTTGATTCCTTTTTTGGAGTTATTGCTCGTTTGGTGACTCGAACCCACAACCTTGGAATTATAGGTGAGGGGTTACTGACTATCGGAGCAACCCTTCTTGTTATATGGAGTTAAATTTTAAGGAAAATTTCCGACAGAATATTTAAAAACCTTCTTAAACTTGACACGTTATATATATATATATATATAAAACTTTGCATTGTCTTAACTATATATATTATCTCCTTGAACTTGATTGTTTGTTATCGTTTACCTCTTGGAAACTAATTTGGCAAAGAGCGTGGATACACTTTGTTTTAGACGTATGAGAGTAAAGAAAAATCAACTAAACCAGTTTTCAAATAGGGTAATTTTTTAATCGTTAATTACAACATAGTGATACATATACAATGATTTTACCTCTTCTTAATATACAATGAACATTTACCCCAAATTTATATTTCTTTTTATATATTTGTTGGATGCAATATAATAGGTATTTATTTCACTTGTGTATTTTTTTTTCTTGGACCAAATTTTACAAAAAAAAATGGTTGAAACTCTATCATTTTAGCCAAATAAAAAAAATTAGCCAAATTAATGGAGTTCTAACTGCATATTCCTTTTTTCTTCTTCTTTAGATGCAGTAGCTATTTATTTTGACTATATACTTTTCCTTCTTTGGGCAAACTGTGCACAAACTAAATTGTTGCAACTACATTATTTTCGGCCAAATAATAAAAGTTTAGTTTCAGTTGTGTTACTTCTTCTTTAGATGCAATGACTATTTATTCCAACTGTATATTTTTCATTTTCGAGCCAAATCTGTAAAAAAGATTGGCTAAATTAATTAACCTTCATTATCTTTATCCAAATATAAAAAAGTTTTTGCCAAAATAATAGAGTTCCCGTACTAGATCTGGAACCGGAGAAAGAGGGGGATAATTAATAAGCCTGAAATATGTTGTAGAAGCTATAAATTGTTATTGCAACTCTATCCACATTTAAAAGCTTCAAAAACATGCCAGTAGGGCTTGGATCAAAGTTGTCATGACTAGGCTTTTTCCTTTTTATAATATTGATGTTCTTCTTCGGTCAGCTTGGACGCGAGTATTATTTGCTCCTCGTCCAATTATCAAATAACTTTGCCCATTAATAATTAAGATTTATGCACGAGGATATATCTCATGTAATTTGGTTCCTGATCTCTAAGGTTTTCATTGACCGCTATAGGTTACACAAGATCAGGAAAAACTGATATATCTCAGGTGACGGAAACTGCAACCATGGATTTTTTGACAAACATGGAAGAACAATCAACCAAGACAATGGACCAATTGCAAGACATAGATCAAAATGGCACAACAAATTCTTTTACAGAAATGGAAGCGTCAATAAATAAAGCCAGCAACAGTAGGTTCGTTCCTTTCTTCATTTAATTTTGAAGACTACTTATGTTTGCTAATCTGTGACAATGATTAATTTTTTCTTCTTTTTCCAGTAAAGAGATACAAAAGGAGTTAAAAGCAGCGCAGTTGTCTATATTCTATGGGGGTAAAGTAATAATGTTTGATGATTTCCCAGCTGATAAAGCAAGAGCAATGATGTTATTAGCTAGCAAAGGAAGCCCTCACAATTCTTGTGCCGTTTTTAACACTACCAGTATGGATAAAACTGGTCCACCTAATTCTGCTGCTAACACCTTTGGTAAGCATTTAATTACTTTTCCTAAATCACACTGTATATTTAGCCGAACAAATTAAGTGCCCATTTATGAAATATCAACTACCTTGCTCCAATAAATGAGCTATACTATATCATTTAATTTTCAGAGATTGAGGTAATATTCTGAATTTCTTTATTCTAAGTGAATTCTTCAAAGACTAACCACAAAATCACAAAGAAAATAGATTTTTTAGTCTGATACCTTGTATAAAAGTCGTGTGTTTAAGAAATATTCTATAGCATAGACCGTACGAATGGGTTGATTGACAATTCACGGATGGAAAAGGAAAAAGCATGCACTCCTCTTTTCTATCTTGCATCTATATATTTTTGCCCTGGTAGATTTCTTTCTAGCTCAACGCGTGTACATTGAGGCTACTTTTCTAAAAAGTATCAGTTTTATTATCCATTTTGATGAGCGATAATGGATAATGTAGTCGAATAATATTTATGACTCATGATAGTATTAAATAATTTTCTTAATGTATATGCCAAGATCGTAAACGAAATTTAAGATACATTGGATGGATTTAAGATTGAACTATACTTATAATTTTCTTAATTTGCTTTATGATAGGTGTTTTGTGTTTGTCCACTTCAGATTTACCTATTGCAAGAAGATCTGCACTTCATAGGTTCCTTGGCAGGAGGAAAGATAGGTAAGGATTAATTCTGCAACTAGCTGTAGTATACACAAACATGTTCAGTTCCAATATTATTTTTACTATCAAACCCCTTTCGCTGGAAAATTACACGGTGCAAAAAGGGTAAAAGTAACTTCTTCTTCTTTTTTTGTTATATGTGAATTGTAAAAAAATAAAATTCAATTATTATATAGTGAAGGGGGTTCAAAAGTTGCTTTAGGTCATAGGTTTAAATACCAATTGTAATATCCTAATTTTTTTTTGAATCCCTTGTATAATAAATTTCTGATTCCGCCACTAGTCTCACTTATTTCTCTTTTCTGGTGGCGTCCAGAGACACGGCCAGAGCGCCATACCAAGTGCAGAATCTATTGACAACATCTTCAAAGAATGAGGAACCAACTTCCGTGATTCGTGATCAGAGCCATTTTGATCTCAACTTCACGTTATAGTCAACTCGATGTCTAAATTATTTTTGGTTATTACTTTACTATATGTAGATGTAATTCTCATGGTGCATTCACTCAGCGCTCTGTATTCAGCTTGGACTATATATGTACAGGAACTGTGATCTAAGATTTTAAGTTAGTATGCGTAAAGTACGAGACAATATTATTTTGTGACACTTGCAAACCTTAATATAGATATAATATTTTACAAGTTGAGCCGCTTGTGTTGAATTTATTTTGTAATAATCCGATTATTTTTTTTAATATGCTTATTAATTGTGAGACTAGATAATTAATTTTATTTATAGCTATTGAGTCAAATACTAACTAGTGGAAGGAGAATTTACTCTATAATATATAAGATAACTAGAAAACTCACCCGTTCGCGCGGTCGATAATAAGACTACTAAACTCCGACTCTGCTACATACGAATTTTCTCATTTCACATTATTACATCCCTATAAAATGCAAGCATATGTCATATTTTCTCGAAGTAATTTAGCAGATTAATTGTTTTTTATGATGGTTACATTTTTCCATTTACCTAAAATTGAATGATATACTAATGTCATAGTTTATAATAAATAAATATTCATTTTAGAACTTAAAATAATAATAATAATAATAATAATAATATAAGATCTTTCTAAAACTTTTATATAAAGAGGCAAATAAGTTGTTATAAACCAAGGAACAAAATACATAATTCGATTATGCAAAGCACAAGTTTCGTAAAATTCTTGAGAAATACTGTTTAAATTATCTTTGCTATAAGCATCAAAAAATCAAGTTTTAAACTGGCTCCATTTATCACTAAAAAATTCTTTTTGAATATATTTTCGTGCCCGAGAACCAGGGCTAAAATCAATTTGGTGTGGAATCATTAAGTACTATTGGGGTCGAAATCCATCTCGGATACAGAAGGAATATCCTTATCAGAAATATTATCATTGTCCTGAATAATATTTGTCTGAGGGTTAACTTTAACCCTTTCGACAGCCTTATTACTAACTTTCGTAGTGATAGTGTGTAACGAGGCTGCACGATTGCGAGTTGGACCATAGATTGGTTCAACAGGAGAAATATGTTGAATAGCAGGTAAAAGTCTATGATTAGAAAATGAATGTCTATTATAAATAGTAGACTTATCATCGAATTGAATACAAATCCTACCATCCGGATTTTCAGTAACATGCGAGCATTCAGTATTTGACAAGTCATTAGTGATCTGACTAGGGGATATCACCGAATTTAAAGTCCAAGTTGTTGGGAAATGAATTTCTTCCCACCTAATAGGTCTCCTAGTGGTGACTTTAGACCTTGCAAAATTGGTTTCCACCAATATGGTCTGATCCGAAGCATCGTATAACTTACATCGAGGATTCAAAGTGGACAATAATTTGAAATATATCCTATAAGATAAACATATAAGTTTAGAACCAGGCGCATAATTATAACCATGCACATTTAAGGTCAAGGCATCAAGAATATTAACATCAGAAAGAGATAATTGCAAATTGGGTTGAGTATTTTTGAAATTCAGATTTCTAGCATCTCTAAGAGCTGCTAAAAAGGTCTCCGGTAATCCTTTAAGGGTTAATGGTTTAAACGTAATTTGAACCATACTAATATACAGGTAATGATAATGATGTTTATATAAATCTATATTGTATTTGTTTAACAAACGAATAGTCTGTTCAGAAGAATTTAACGCTAAAGACTGTTCAGTCGTTTTTATCAATTATTTTGAAGAAAGTTTATCAAACCAACCATAATCATAAATGGTTTTAATATAAACTTTAAGAATTGTCCATTTATTTAACAAATCAAGGTTTGAGGTATATCTATCTCTTCAAGTCTAGTACTTTTAGTACTTGTTTCTCCCAAATCCATTCCAAAAACTTCATATATATGTTGAATATTTCAGATCTATTACATATTTACCCTGAAAGTTCCTAGGCTCTGATACCATTGCTCCTCATGCCCCATTTATTTTACCTAATAATACTGGTATTACCTTTACTGCTTTTCAAAAATTTATTGATGATAATGTTGCAGTTGTTAGCATCGCAGAAATTAATAAATTGATTTCTCAAAACAATTATTTAGGTTTATATGTCAAAATTTTAGGAGAACATATTGGTTCTCTTGATAAAAAACTTGATGATTTGACTGTTTTAATAAAATAAATGAGTACTAATAAAGGACAAACTGATATTGCCTCCACTTCAGGAAGCAAATCAATTGATCAAGCTATTCTTACTCATGTTCAAAGACCTCCTGAGATTTAGGATTTTAAATTTAAATCTCTTGATGACTTAGCACAACTCCTTGATAAAAAGCTTTCTGGTTTAAATATTAGACCAATTAATTTATCACATAATTTTGCTGATAAAATTGAGACTATTTCTGATTATAAAAATGAAACGTGGTCAGAGTTTAATAAACTCAAAGGTTTAGTTAAATACAATAGTAGGTATGCTGACAAGTCTAGAATGCAAACTTACTATTATTCCCGTCCTACTCCTCAAGATGTGTTGATTGGGGAACGCGATTGGAATCAGACTAATACGTTTTACAGTGGTTCCGAAATTTATGAATGGAATCTTGATGGTATAACTGATAGACAGTTAACTATTCTTATTCATAGAATGCTTATGTACTCAACTATCTGTAAAAGTGTTAAAAATACAGATAGAACTATTTGCAAAATGATTATTGCAGGCTTTACTGGCCAACTTCGTGGCTGGTGGGATAATTATTTATCCGTTGAAGAAAAAGCCACAGTTATTAATGCTACAGCCGTTGACGAGGGAGTTGATAACTTAGGCATGACTCTAGTTAAAGGTAGAGAAGATGTTGTTTATACCCTTGTCCTCACAATTCTAGAACATTTCAATGGTAGATTTACCAGTCAGCATGAGACCGTCCGTACTTTATTAAATGGGCTTAGATGTAAGACCCTTAGTGAATTTAGATGGTACAAAGATACCTTTATAAGTAGGGTTATGAAACTACCCGAGAATAAATATGAGCATTGAAAAGCTAAGTTTATAGACGGTCTCCCCTCCTTATTTGCCGAAAGAGTAAGAAAAGCATTAAGGAGTAGTTACGGTGAAATTTCGTATAAGAATTATACCTATGGTAAACTTATAGGAGTATGTACACAAGAAGGATTAAACTTGTGTAATGAACTAAAGCTTTCTAGACAGCTTAAGATAGATAAGCTTAAAGAGAGATCCCAATTAGGAAATTTTTGTACCCAGTTCGGTTTACCCGAAACTTCCACCCATAATAGGAAAAAGAAAAATAGGTATCATAGGTATCCAAACCTTGATAGCCCATATAAGAAAAAGAGGTCTAGATATAGATCTAAAGAAGAACATGATGCTAGAAAAGCTTATCGTAAATCTACTCGATTTACGAAGAATAGATCTAAGCGAGATTTTGCTGATATTAAGTGTTATAAGTGTGGAAAATTTGGTCATATCGCTCCAAATTGCAAGCTTCAAAAGCTGAAAACCTTAGAACTAGATGATGAATTACGTAATAAGGTTTATAGCTTGTTATACGCTTCTGGATCAGAATCTGATTATTGCTCTGAGACTGAGTCTGAAGATGAAATTGATTTAATTGATTTATCTGATAGTGGTAAAGATTTTGATAATACTTGCACTAATTGCAAAAGTGATAATTGTACTTGTGATGATAATAAATTTTATAAATTGCAATCACAATTTCAGGATTTAAATATGAAAACTATTACATCTGACAATGTAATAGAGCTTTTAAAGGAAGTTACTGATGAAAAACTTCGTGAAAAAATTATTAATCTAGCTGCAACTTCTAGTTCTAGTAGTTCAAAACCTTTTGAAAAATAAAAGAACAAATTTAAATATTTTACGCGTTATTCTTTGTCTGAAATTAATAAACGTCTTCACATGACCAGTACGCCAAGTAGAGATGTTTCTTTTGACGATTTAAAAGTCGAAATCGAAAATTTGAAAAGGGATATCAAGTCTCTTAAATAAAATCAAATGATTTGTGATCACCGGATTACATAAAGTGAGAAAAATAATTCTCTAACTGATTTTTCGGCTAAAGGAATTTCTGAATTATCTAATGAAAAGGGAAAAGAAATTTCTGATAGAAATGATCCGATTAATGAAAAATCTGATATGTTTTTACGAATGATGCAAATTGTAACTGCCCATAAATGGTACATTAAATGTACTATTTTGATTGATAATAATTTTTTTATAACTAATATAACTATGATTGATAGTGGGGCAGATGTAAGCTGCATCCAAGAAGGACTTGTTCCTGCTAAATATTTTCAGAAAATCACTCATTTGGTAAAATCTGCTTCTGGTCGGATATTTGCAGAACCTATTCCTAATTGGTTTTTAAACTGGTGGTTATACCACGGTCCGACAGTGAAGATCTTACCAGACCCTTTCCTTAAGTTATACAAAGAATGGGCTAAGATTTTCCCAAATTTAAACAATCTTTATAACGCGGATCATATATGCCACCTGGAAAAGATTGACCAGATATATTTCTTTATTGAGTTCTCTATCCCATGGATCTATAAATGGATTCCAAAATTAGGATTTACAGAAGAACAAATCCCCTGCTTATATAGGACATTTTATAATAATTTTTGGAATAAATTAATGAAGACAGATCCAAGACCAAAATGTTATATGGGCAAGAACTCTTGGATTCCATTAAAGAAAAAATTCAAGAATATTCAACCAGTCCTCAAAAGAAGATGATTGATGATAACTCAGTTAAACACATTGCCAGGAGGATCTTAGTGCAATAAGGAGATAAAACTGAAATGATAAATCGGTATCTGGAAGAAGTAAAAAGAAATTTGCTTTAGTCGATAAATCAATATGAGAAATCTGACACTTCAATGCGAAGTGAAACAAGCGGCGATGATATCGCAGAAGATAATTCCCAGCCTGTGCAAACAGAAGTAATATTATCTGACAAAGACATAGACAAGGTGGAAGATTTCCTCCAGCAAATAAAAGAATTGGAAAAAAGGAGACTATGATTATCAGATAGGATTACTAAAACCTCCAACATCAACAGTACATACATTGTATACAAAGTAGATACACTGTATACATAGTAGATATACTGTATAAGGGACCCATTTTACTGTACAAAGATTCGTTATGTTTTTTCTTTCTTCTATGAGTAG